TTTTTTTTTTTTTTTTTTTTTGTGGTACTGGGGATTGAACTTGGGACCTTGTGCTTATGAGGCAGGCGGCGGTGCCACTGAGCTAAATCCCTAGCCCTGTTGAAAGTTGAATTTTTATCTATGCTATTGCTTCTTCTAGTTTAATTTTAAATGTTTAGTAAATATAAATATTATAAGTAATATTTGCATAGATCATATTGACCTAGTGTGTGTGTTTATTCTAGTTTTTAAATATTTGGCCGAAAAATATCTTCAGAAACTCAAACAACAAACAGCTGAGGATCCACAACTGCAACATTCAAGTAGTAACAAAATAGGTAAGTACCCAAGAAATTTTAGCTGGTGTTATCAGGTATGTATCCTCTGTGCATTTTTTTTTTTTCGTTTTGAGACAGATCTCAAACTCACTATGTATCCCAGGCTGGCCTCAAACTCAGGGTGATCCTCCTGTCTCAGCTTCCTGAGTGCTGGGATTACAGGCATGTGCCACCTTGCCCAGCTGTTCATTATTATATTTATTTTTTATATGTAATGTGGATATTTCTTTAAGAAACGTTATCAAAAAGTGTTCAGTTGATTATTGAACTTACAAATATCAGATCTCTTGTGAAAAGATATTGTGTTAAAAGTTTTTTTACTATTTTATGAATCAATTTAATACAGTACCACAAGTATAAACTTTTTATAAAGGTCTATCCTTTATAGAAAAAAAGTGTTTTGTTTGTTTTGTTGAGACAGGGTCTCACTATGTAGTTCAGGCTGACCTTGAACTTACTGTGTAGCTCAAGGTAGCACTGAACTCCTCGTGATTGCCGTGCCTCAGCCTCCCGAATACTGGGATTCCAGGTGTGTGTCGTCATTCCTGTCTAGAAAAGAGTTTTAAAATACCTGTTCTTACCAATTTTGTCAGTGCTGGAAACATTAGCCACAGCCATTAAACAACAGAAAGAATTAAAAGGAATAAAGATAGGAAAGGAAGAAGTTAAACTGTCATTATTTGCTGACGACATGATACTCTACATAGAAGATACCAGAACTCCTCCAAAAGACTTCCAGACTTAATTGACAGGTTCAGTAGAGTAGTTGGATACAAGGTTAGCACTCAGAAATCAATAGCCTTTTTGTACAAAAATTACAGATTCACTGAGAGAGAAACTGGGGAAACAATTCCTTTCAAAATAGTGTCCAAAAAATGAAATATCTACGAATTAATCTAAAGAAGGAAGTAAAAGACCTCTACACTGAAAACTACAGCACTCTGAAAAAACAGACTGAAGAGGTTGTAAGAAAATAGAAAGACATCCCTTGTTCCTGGGTAGGAAGAAACAATATAGTGAAAGTGGCCATACAACCAAAACTGCTATATAGATTCAATGCAATCCCAGTTGAAATCCCCACAGTATATTTCACAGAACTAGAGAAAACAAAAATTCATTTGAAACCATAAGAGACCTAGGATAGCAAAAGCAGTTCTAGGCAACAGAGGCATGGCAGTGGGTATCACAATCCCCAGTTTGAAACTGTACTACAAAGCCACTGTGATAAAAACAGCATGGTACTGGCAAAGAAACAGACTGGAGGATCAATGGAATAGATTAGAAGATGCAGAAACAACTCCAGACATACTCAGCCACCACATCTTTGACAAAAGAGCCAAACATCCTCATTGGAGGAAAGATGGCCTCTTTAATAAATGGTGCTGGAAAAACTGTATTTCACCCTGCCAGAGATTAAAACTAGACTCATATCTGTCACCATGCAGTAAACAAAAATTGAAGTGGATCAAAGATCTAAATATTAAAACATACACTAAACTTGATGGAAGATAGGTTAGGTAGAATTCTTGAAGACATGGATATAGGAAAAGACTTTGAACAAAACCTCAGTAGCACAGGAACTAGCACAAAGAATCAACAACTGGTATCTCATGTCATTAAAAAGCTGCATTGCAAGAGAAACCACCAATAGAGCTAAGAGACAACCTTCAATGTGGGAAAATATTTTTAACAGCTGCTCCTCAAAGGTCTACTATCTAGAATATATAAAGAACTCAAAAAATCAGACCCCCCCCCAAATTTAAAGACCCAGTTCAAAAATGGGCACCTAAAATGAACAGACGCTTCTCAGACAAAGAAGTAGAAACAGCAAATAAATATATAAAAAAATGTTCAATATCATTGGTCATTGGAGAGATGCAGATGAAAACAACACTGAGATTCCACCTCACCCCAGAAAGAATGGCTGCTACCAAGAAATCAATCAATAACAAATGCTGGTGGGGTTGTGGGGAGAAAGGAACCCTTCTCCATTGTTGGTGGGAGTGCAGACTGGTGCAACCACTGTGGAAATCAATATGGAGATACCTCAAATAACTGGGATTAGAGGTTCCATTTGACCCAGCTATTCCCCTGCTGGGTATCTTTCCAAAAGAATTAAAAGATTCATACCACAGTGATACATCTGCACCCATGTTCAGACTAGATGAGGCACATTCAGGGTGGTAAGGACATAGACTGCATCCATGTTCATAGCAGCACAGTTTGTAACAGCTACAACTTGGAAGCCATCCAATTGCCCATCAACTGGTGACTGGATAAAGAAAATGCACTTTCTAATGAGATAGAGCACTGTTCTGGCATAAAGAATGAGAAACTAGGGCCGGGGATTTAGCTCAGTCGTTCCACCGCCTGCCTTGCTAGTGCAAGGACTTGAGTTTGATCCTGGGTACAAAAAAAAAAAAAATTATAGCTAATGAATGTACATTGACTCCATTCTCTTGAGTGAGATAAATAGGACACACGTGTAAGTAAATACCTAATAGTTTCTCTGGTGTGAGAAACTGAAAACATAAATAAGGATCAAAATGTATAATAGATCATGTGAAATGGTGGGGGGGAGTCCAAAGTGAAAGAAGTAGGGCTTGGGGAAAGGAAGAAGGGAAAAGAATAGATAGGAGAAAAGGACAAAATGGAAACAAAGTCTTTGTAAGTAGGGAGGGGAGGAGGGGCGAAGGGAGGACAGGGGAATGGGGGAAAATAAGAACCAAGACCTGTCATGTGAAGGTACAAATTATCAATGATGAATACAGCTACTGTATACCTAAAATGTACCAATAAACTCAATGAGTTTTTTAAAAAGGAAGGACATCCTGCAGTATGCCGCAACCTGGAGGACTCCTGAAAGTATTGTACTAATGAAAGGAGCCCAACAGTAAAAGAAAGTGAGTCTACTTGTAGGAAGTGCTCACGGTCCTAGGAGCAGAGGTGGGGCAGTGGAGTGGAGAATTATGGCTTAGCAGTAGTTTGTTTTACAGATGCAGTTAATTTTATCCTTTTTTTTTTTTTTTTTTTTTTTTTTTGGTACCGGGGATCGAACTCGGGTTCTTGCACTTGCGAGGCAGGCCACCGAACCACTGAGCTAAATCCCCAGCCCTACAGATGCAGTTAATGGAGATGCATGCTGGCTGTGGTTTTACAATGTCATGAGCATTTAATACTACTGATTTACACTTAAAAATGCTTAAGGTAGCTGGGCCTGGTGGTACAGGCCCCCAAATCCCAGCATTCTGGGAGGCTGAGGCAGGAGAATCACAAGTTCAGGCCTAGTCTGGGCAACCTAGCAACTTAGTGAGACCCTATCTCAAAATGCAAAATAAAAAGTGAACTGGGATGTAGCTCAGCACCAAAGCTTTGGGCACCCTAGTACTGCCCCTCCCCCAGAAAGTCAAGGGAATAAATTTTGTTTGCATTTTACAATAAAATGAAATTGTAAACACTTGAAAATACTTTGTTTACTAATAATGCTTCAGGTACCTCCGAGGTATCTCAAAGTCAGTCTCTGTTTTCCTGCTCACTATACAGGTGTCTTCAATACATCTGGCGGCAGTCACTTGAGTCAGAATTCAAGTACCCTAAACGGTGGAGACGTCATCAATCTTAGACCTAACAAAGAGAGGACCAAGAAAAACAGGAACCTCTTCAGCAACTGTAGCATACCCTAAACGTCTGTGGAGGGAGAAAGTTGAATCACATTCCGCCATTCACTGAGAAACACCCAGCAGTGTTTTAGCAGACTTTACACCTCCTGGCTTCCTGAACGGACAGATGTTAATGTGTGCTTTCTGGAGTGTGGAGTGAGACCTCTGGTGGAAATGTTGCTGCCCTGTGGACTCATTTTTAAATTTTTACTTACATTAAATGAAGCTTGTCCTGTATTTGAAGGAATGGTATAAGAAATATCAAAACAGGTTTTGCTGAATTGTAATGCTGAAATCATGAATGAAATGCCTAGGTGTGTTGGTCCAGATTTTAATATTGTGCATTAAGGAAAGATAGCAAGCACTCTTTCATGAAATTGGCCATCCAGCTTTTATGGAAAAGTACTGAGTCTGAACACTAACAGCAAAATAGTTGTGCACTGTAAACTGAAACCTCGCTGGGCTACACAAGGGCGTTTGGGCGTCACCTGTGCAGCGTCCATGAGTCCAGCGAGGATGGACGCGTGCAGACCCTTGCGCTGGAGCACGTGGAGGGCCTGTGCGGTGCCTAGGGAATGTAGATGCTAATCGTGTAAAGTGACGTACACACTGTGTATGTACAAGCTTTCATGTTCAAATAAATTCCAGGCCTATATTTTGCAAAATGAGCTTGAGCTAAAAAGTGCTTCGTGCCAAAAATATTAACCTTTTACAGTGCTTTATTGTTAGAATTTACATTATTTTCTCTTAGGATCTCTGGCAGGATCACAAAAGAGGGGTAGAAACGTTTTAAGCCACAGGTTCTCCCAGTGAGACTTCCTGTAAAACCCTTTCCCTATGGCCGCTGTCGTATGGTGCCTCACACTGTTGTCCTGCCACTGCGGCCCTCAAGATGTACAGCTGCAGTTGCTCAGGATGTTCTGTGATGCATGCTGTTGCAGCCAACACCTTTCACTGCTGACTGACAACCCCTTTTAGGATTGTGCTGAAAGCCAGGCGTGGTGGTGCACACCTGTAATTCCAAACACTGGGAGGCTGAGGCAGGAGGATCAAGAGCTCAAGGTGAGCCTGGACTACATAGTCCAAGGCCAGCCCAAACCCTTTCTCAAAAACAAAAACAAAACAAAAAAAAATTAGTTAACCATTTTTTCTTTTTAACCTGGATTGAACTCGGGTCCTTGCGCTTCCAAGGCAGGCAGCAGAACCACTGAGCTAAATCCCCAGCCCTATGCTATTTTTAAAATACATAAATGATTGGGCCGGGGATTTAGCTCAGTGGCACCATACCTACCTTGAAGTACAAGGTCCCAAGTTTGATCCCCGGTACTGGGGGAAAAAATACATAAATGATTATCTTCAGTCGTAATCCAGTTTATGGGTGTTATAATGCACAGCAACTCTAGAGCATCCTTTTGTTTACACTTTTTTGTATGGTACCATAGTTTAAGGTTATTACTTAAAAATTTCTATTTCCTTTGGTTTGTGTAGAACTTCCTCAAGAGCTCTGTCAGTACCACATAATTTAAAATGTGATCTCATGTAATGACGTATCAGCATCAATTTTGTGATTTGGGATAGTAGCCTTCCAAACAAAGGTAATTAAACTCTATTAAAACTGATTACCAACCCAGGCATGGTACTGCACACCTTTAATCCCAGCACTTGGGAGGCTGAGGCAGGAGGATCAAGAGCTCAAGGCCAGTCTGGACCACTTAGTGAGATCCTGTCTCAAAATCAAGCAAAAATTCCCCCAAACACCCTGATTATCATTCATCATCCATCATTTGTTTTGTGTTACTGGAGATTAGACCATGGCCTTCAAGATGAACTACATCCTCAGCCCTCTTTGAGAGAGGCTTGCTAAGTTGCTCAGGCTGGGCTCAAACTTGGGATTTTCCTGCATCAGCCTGCTGGAGTGCTGGGACTACAGGTATAAGCCACCAAGACTGGTTTAGTAGTTTTAATGTATAAAGAACCCCTTTCAACATAGCTGGTTTTTATAAGATTTCAAAGTACTTAAAACTAACTTCTTGGAAAATGTGTCATGAAGTCACTTTTCATTATTTTGTACTAAATACATAAATGTTTTGCATATTTCTTACGTTTTATCTTTTTTTGAAGTCTCCTATTTGTACCACCTCCATCCTCCTGCTGGAGTATGCCAGAACCCCTAGGGTGTGCTGTGGTTAGGTGGTCGGAGTAACGGCTGCTGTCCGTGCGTTCAGAGACTGGTGTTACCTGTCACAGCGGTGAATGCAGGCGCTTGTGTTCACAGCACTGTTGCCGGCGGTGGGATAAGCACCGGGAAGTCTCACTCCCTCACAGTGGGTACCTGCATCCGCTAGTGATCCAACTGCTTTATTTTCTTCAAATCGTCTAATTTTTTCACAAAATACATGTTGTGGCAAATAAACTTGTCTTTATTGGCAGAAAAGTCACTCATTACATAAGGTGGTTCAGTTCTACTGCATACTGATTAATGTGCATGGGTGAAAGCGTGTTCCTTCTCTGTATCAAAAAGTTAATCTCTGGTGATGGTCACTTTGTTAAATCCCTTTTTTTTTTATAAAAACAAGGTATCTTTGTTGTGTATTCACATTTTTACTTTTTCATTGCTGTGTTTTACACCTAAATAGGTTTGTCTATTGAACTAATTCTTTTTTTTGTTTTCGGCTTTAATTGAGTTTATTGGTACATTTTAGGGATACAGTGCAGTTACATTCATTGTTGGTACCTTGTACCTCTACATGACAGGTCTTGATTCTCATTTTTTCCCTTTACCCCTACCCTCCCTTCACCCCCTCTATTCAACTAATTCTGAAACCTTCAAAATTTACATTAACCTTTCCCCTTGTGCCTCCTCAATCTTTCAAACACCCTTGTAATGTGTGATGACAGCGTGGATGCTGAGCAGCTGCGGCCAGGCCTGTCCCTTCCCGCGTGTGCTGTCCCGCGCTGTGCTCTGCCGCTGTGGCCGACTTCAGCGTGCGGTCAGCTCTTCCCCCTCAGCCTGTGGACTCAGCAGTACCCAGCCGCCCTCAGCTTGCGCGGTTTTCCGGAGCGCCCGAAGTTGGAGGCGCTGTACTTTTTCAGAAGCTAACAGCAGAGGGTGAGGACTTGCCTGGCGGGGTGGTGCGCCCTTGTCCGCGTCCTTAGGGCGGGGCCTTTCCCGAACACCTTCGGGTGCCCCTGGTGTCCCAGCCTGAGAGTTGAATTCCTAACTCCAGGTACCGCAACGCGGCAGCGCGCTGGGCCCGGGCGTGGACACCGGCGTGGGTGCGGCAGCTCCCGTTTCTGGGACAGAGTGGCCTTGGGGAGCTTGTCCTCTACCGCATAGCAATCTGGAGGAGGAGCACTGTACTGCGCTCACTGTAGGCTGTCACATGTCAAATCCATAGATCATACAGGAGACTGGTTTGCCAACCTATTTCAAACGCAGTGGGGCCTAAAATGTCCAGTTACCAAGGTCATGCTGAGAGCCATCTGGCTATGCTCTGTTAGCTCTACAGCAAGGTCTTGGTAAAATTGTTTTAAAAATAAAAACTGGGTTAAAAGGAGAGCCCAAACTGGACCCCTGCTATGTTTTTGTTGCTAATACATAATGTATTTGTAAATTTAAATGAAAAACCACTTGTGTGTACTGGTACTGGGTTGGTTATTCCCTCAAACTTAATTTAAAAAACACTCCTTGATTAAAACTTCATCGAAGATGAATTCCAGTAATCAAAAAAATAAATGCATTTCAAAGCTAGAACTTCATTTGACATGTATGATGTGTATCGCCCGTGGAACTACATACACAGGCACAACGCGACTTCTTTAAAAACCAGAATAACTTGACCCTGCCTGTTTCAGTCCCTTTTCCAGCAGCCAGTGTACGCCTTTTGGTAGCAGCAGTTGATACAGCGAGTCCCTGCCTTACACGCCAGTTCCGTTCCCCGGAGAACACCCCTACGTGGGACTCACTCGTACCCAGAGTGAGTCCTACACAGCACACGCGTGAAGGCACATGACTCCGACTCCACTGACCTATTGGAATGCAGCTCGGTGGCACTGTGCTTTCCCTAATTTTGCCCAGGAAATTTCTTTTACATGCTATCACTGTTATTCTTATTTTAAAAAGTTATTTAGTCTTGTTTGTCCTGTAGTATAAAATAATTGGGTCTTTTGATTGGTTTGTTGTTGAGACAGGGTCAAATGACACAGCCCAGGCCGGCTTTGAACTAACAATCTTCCTACCTCAGCCTCCCGAGTGCTCGGTTTACAGGTGTGCATCACCACCGCGCCTGGCTACTTCTGACCTATTTAACAGATGCTCACTTTGGGCCAGGCCTGCACAGCTGCAGGTGGGAGCTCTGTCTCACTCCCTCCTTGCAGAGCAGGGCCTCCTGGATCTCGAGCTGGGCCAGGGTGAGGGTTGGCTTCCCCAGGCCTTGCCTTGCCGGGCTGGGGCGGAGCGGGCTCCTGCATTCCTGCTGTTCTGTGCACACCCATCTCACTTTGCTCGCTGACATGTGAGCACACACACGCACACGGAATGGGCTGAGCTCAAATGTCCGTCTTTGTTGCTCTTTCTTTTCCAAGAGTCTCACTTTTAACTGTTTTGTATCTGTAACTGTAAAACCCACCCTTCAGGAGTAGCATTATCAGTCACATGTACTTCACATGTGTCATTTATCAGTCATTCAAAGGGACAAATGCATGAATCTCATAACATAAATCACTGCATGTTTTTCATTTTGAGAGAGCATGTCATGGGCAGAGCCGCAGTGACCAGCGGAGACTGACGGGGAAGAGGGTGCAGACAGCACTTGAGAAGTTGATTGCCCATTTCTTAGTTTTCAAGACACCGCTGAAGAACAAGATGACACAAGCAGTGTGTACGAAAGCGGAGCAGATCAGCCCACTGAGCCTGAGGCTTCTGGAGAGACGGAAACCCAATGAGGCAGAGCCAGCAGGCAGTGCGGCCGCCGGCTAAGGAAAGCAGTGGACAAGTGCTCAGGCTGTCACTGCTTTCCATACAGAAAGACTAATTTGGCACTCTGCACAGAAAAGTCAGCTCATTACCACTTACACAGAAAAATATATAAAATCAGTGTGAATCTTTTTATGTGAATCCCTACATTCTAAAAAAGACTGAGTGTGAAGTCTAATTTCAGAGCAGCATTTAGAGAAGTTGTTGAGGTTTTTGTGCATCAGTAGTACTATTGAACATTTAACAAGTGTTCTACAGTTACTTCATTTACCATGGATAAAAAAGGATCAACACATCAGTCCACCTAGGTAGGAAGCAAGATGCAAAGTAAATAAGGTTTTACGTTAGAAAAAGTGTTGAAAAGATTTCGGTGAAATGGCTACATTTAATTATTGAAGACAGTACACACTCATACAGCATTTATACCAAAAAAATGTAGAAGTGTCAGGCCATGAAAATGTATACAGCGTTGACCCAGTGCACCCCGTGCTGGGAACTGATACCAGGAGGAGAGAGCCCTGTGTATCCAGCTGTCTCAGTAACAGCAACAAACTGCAAACAACCCACATGTCCTCGGGGGAATGGACGAGTACGTATGGCACAGCTACACAGCCTTTTAAACTGATGAGCAGCATTATAGAAGAATGCATTTGAGAAACCAAGTGGATATATAACTACTCACATCAGTAAGACGAAAGGTGACCGTCTCACGTTGTAAGCTATGTGTTCAAGTATGTAAAATATGCATAAATCTTTAGCTTCAAAGTAATGTGATACATGCAGATACCCAGAGACATCTGTATGAGTGGAAGGACGCAGGACAGGCTCTTCCATGCCTCCGGAATCCTCCAAACACTTCGTGTTCACATGGTGTGTGCAGCGTGGAGGGCGGGAGTTTCTGCAGGCTCCCGCCCTGGAGCTGTTTATTTGCCCTGGTCCAGCCGAGTGGGGACACTTTGCCCCTAGCTGAGCTTTACTTTCTCCACATACTGTGCAAATCTACAAAATAGTAAAATACATAGTGCTAGATCCTAGTATAAGGCAAAAATTCAGTGTATAAAGTCTAGATAATTAAAATACTAGTTTCAATTGAGTTGCAAAACTTGGACACTGCAGTAGTTTGCTCATGTGAAATAACTTCTCCTATCAAGTGGCCATGCCTGACATAAAGAACTAGCGTCACCTAAAGTAGCGTCTCAGCATCTTGACGTGACCCGAGTGCGCACAGGCTTGGAGACTAGTTCAGTCTGCTATCAGCATTTGCGTGCAGAACTTTGGAGCCGGCTCCTTTCGAATGCTCTAGCAGCTTGATGGCCTTGTCTGAGTTCTCGATGTTTCTGAGCAGAGTCTCTAGTCTTCTCTTGATTTTCTTCTGATCCTCAAGGGCACAACCAATCACTATAGACTGGAACTTCTGATCCACCGGGCCCGGTGGCACCTCAGAGGAACACGCGCTGTGGAGGGACGTTAAGTGGCACTTGGCGCTGCCCAGGTCCTCCAGGAACTTGCTGACCACGTCGTCTATCATCCTCGAGGCACGCTGCAGGGACTCTTCCTGCTGCGGGTTCCTGACGGTTTCTACTGAAACTTCAACGGTGAGGGTTCGTCCCATCAAACGGTTCGCAGTCAGATTCAGTTCTTCTCGTTCTCCTAAACACAACAGGTTGTGAAATAATCAGCGGGCGACAAACTATCCACGTCAAGAACACCAACGCCTTCCATGGTGGCTAAATGTACCTTTTAAACACTTCTGCTACGAAACTTTTTCAAGGTAAAGACAAATTCTAGCACACAAGTAACTGATGAAGTGTTGGGCTGGAGAGCGGGTGCAGAACACCTTTCCCTGAAAATCGCACAGGACACCAGCTGGCGTCCCAGGTGTGTGCTTCTGCACAAGCTGGGGAGCTCTGCCTCCATGACCAGGCCGGACGTCACATGCACCCTCAGTAGGGTGTGTGCTGGGAAGAGCTGCGGGGTTCACACGTCCCACAGAAGAAATGCAGGATGCCCTGGTCTCACTCCTAGGCATGGACTTCGCCCCTCCAGGACAGCTGACACGGCCCGAGGTCAAGGGGCTGTCCTTTACCTCTGCTCTGAATTTCCTCCACTTCCCCTCACGCCTCAATTCGGCTCCTCTGTCTACATCTCTGGTCCTGCCCTCACCCTCACCTGCTGCTTTTCAGGCTCCTGCAGCAAGCGGGGCAACTCGGAGAGCACGGAAGTTAGGACTGGGAGCCCGAGGGAGACGGGGCTTTACTGCGTGGGCCTGGACTTCGGGCTGTGGGAGCTGGCAGGGGCCCTGTCCTCCTCCCCTGAGGGGCGGGGGAAGCACCTAGGCGCGCGGCCCGCTGTGCCGCAGCAGCTCCCGCAACCCAAGTGCAGAGCGCAACCCAAGTGCAGAGCGGCGAAAGCGGCCCGGCCCCTCAGACAGGAGGCGGCGCTCACCGTCACTGATCTGCCGCATGTCCTGGCTGTTCTGGATGCTGTGGATCATCTCCAGGAGGACTTCCTTTTCTTGCTCAATAGCAGTTGCAGCTTCCCGCAAAGCTTCCACCCTGTGTAAATTGGGGAAACAAGGCAGTGACCATTACACAGAGGGTGCTCTTCCTCTTGGTGCTCTCACCTCATTCATTGCAATTCAAGTTTAACATCACTAGGAATGCTTTTTTCAAAATTTTTCTTTAAATTATTCATCGAAAAACAATCATTCACTGGGTGTGGTAGTGCACGCCTATAATCCGAGTACTTGGGAGGCTGAGGCAGGAGGAACACTGTAAATTTGAAGCCAGCCTGGCCTAGTGAGTTCAAGGCCAATCTGAACTGTATAGGGAGACTGCCTCAAAAACAAAAACAAAAAACCCCTCCGTGTTTCTTCTTCATTATTATCATTATTATTTTTTTTAGAACAGGGTCTTCTGTGTCGTTCAGGCTGGCCTTTGCAGCGATGCTCCTGTCTTAGCCTCCATAACGAATGCTGGGATTATATTACAGGCACATGACTAAGCCCACCTTTTTTTTTTCCTAATTTACTTACCTCCCTCCATTTTCTCCCTGCTCACAGAGCAACTGTTCTATTTCATTTGTGTTATTTGTGTATCTGCGTACTTTAAATTTGTATCATTCAGAGCTTTTACTTTTTGTTTCTTTGGACTCAGTATTACTCTATTTTCAGGACTGTCAGGTTTCCCGGGCACACTTCCACGCAATAGTTTCTGGTTGCTGCATAATATCCCATGTGTGCTCCCACCTGATTTTATCTCTGCGCACTCCAAGGTGGACTCTCAGGCTGCCTGCCTACTTCTCAGCACAGGGCACAGCCCCTCTGCACTCCGGTGCCGCATCATCTCCCAGGGCTCCCATCACAGGGGACCCTAGTCAGGGACGGCCTGCACTGGGCAGGTCTCACTGTTCAGCCTGGGGAAGAGCTCCTTATTCTGATGGGATCGGTTCATCTTTGTTTATGCCTTTGAAGTATGAGGGCTTTCCCCAGACCTAGATCATAAAATAGTTTTCTCATTAACTTTACAGTTTTAAATTCTGTATGTTTGCCACTAGGATCCTCTCGTGTGCTTAGGTAAGGGTTTTGTCTTTTCTAAGCAGAGAGCCATTTTTCCTTGAATTATTTACCAAATAATCCATCTTTCCCCTAATGATTTGTACATTAAGTTTACCACTGAAATCTCTATCACACATTAGGGTAATGGATCTTATACCCACATACATTTTTAAAAATAGGAAGGATCAGTCATAATATGGTCTAATATCTGGTAGAGCAGGCTCACCACAGTTCATTAAAGATAAGAAGCTATTTATGGGCCTTTATTCCCCTATATAAACTTTACGGTAAGTTTATTTGGTTTCTAAAAACAGTGGAGGAAACATGACGTCTTTATAATAGTGTTACATTCAAGGGCATGATGTCATTTACTTAATCTTCCATAGACTTTTTTCAGATTAGTTTCCAGGTTCTCTTTTTTTCAGTGGCTATTTTTTAGTTAGTGCAGGTGTGCGATGTAGCATCTAAACTCCTGTGTGGAGCTGGTCCACGTACAGGACACAGGACACATCTTCACTCCTTTTCTCTCCTTTCCTCTCTCCCCTCCATTCAGCTTGTGATCCTCAGTTTCTCTTCTTCTTTTACATGTTTGCAGTATGTATGAGACAAGCTGTTGTTCAGACTGGCCTTGAACTGGCAATTCTCTTGCCTTGGCCTCCCAAGTGCTGCGATTCCAGGCATGTGCTACCATGTCTGGCTTTTACTAGAATTTTGAAATTTTCTTTATAGTAGTTTTGTGGACTTGAGTGTTCCACATACTTTGTGGGTATTTTTGCTGACATGAATGAATGAATTTTTTAGTCAAGTATTGCTGGTTTCAGAAATGCTTGCTTGTTTTTGGTACTGGAGATCAAACTCAGGACCTTGTGCTTGAGAGGCAGGTGGAACCACTGAGCAAAATCCCTGGCAGAAATGCTTCTTTTTTGGGCTTCATTCAACTTATCACTGGCAGCGTTTATATTTATTAATTTTAATGGTCAGTTTTTTGATTCACTGATTCTTCTAAGAGGTTAATAATCCTATCATCTGCAAAAAAATTAAACAGTGACAGCTTTTGTCATGCTTTCTACCTAGCTCCTTATTTTTTCTTCAGGGCACTGAGGAGGCCCATAGTGTACTAGTGCAGTGCTGGGTGTGTCAGTCTTGCTCACGGTCAAGAGGGAGCCATCTGGGCTTCTGGCCTGACCCTGAGGGACCACAGCGGTGCTGCTGTCCCTTCTGTCCCCAGCCGCACACAGGCACCCTTACGTGGGTCCTCACACACAAACGCATCGGTCACTAAAAGACGAGGCCATGAAAGCATTAGAACCAGAGGAAAAAAACCTGCGTGTTTCAAAGTACTCCATCTCTATTCTTTTTTTTTATGTACTGGGGATTGAACTCTGGTCCTTGCACTTGCGAGGCAGGTGGCGGAACCACTGAACTAAATCCCCGGCCAACTTGCTTTCTTTATTCTTTTTTTTCAAAATACTCTATCTCCACATCACTTATCACAGGTGAGTTGCCAGCTTTTGTGAAATGACAGGACAGACATCTTCAATGTATTTGTCTGAACGTGAAAATCTATGATTACGGAAGAGCCAAGCAAACTGCTGCCTTGTGTGGGTGCAGAGGAGGATCGACTCCAGAGCCCCGCAGCCCTCTCTACTCTCCCCCCCAGCCACACAGTGCCTTCCCTCCACCACCCACGTTCACACCCCAGAATAGCACCGAGTCTGGAAGCCGCAGTGTGGCTTTATTCTTGCAGATACGAGGTCTGGTGGGACTTTATTTGGGGGGATCGGACATGAAGCATCGCTGGAAACACAAGCACGCTCTCTGTAAAGTGGGACTGAGCAGCCTCAGGCCCTCAGGCCCGACTCACTGCTTCCTCAGGTGTTCACACCAGCAATATGACAGTAAACCAGGGCCCAGCGCGTTCGAGAGACTGCTGAGCGTACTAAAGTGTCACCTGTGACTCCAGCATTCCCATAAGTGACACAGAAGAGTGGTGATGTGATGAGAAGATGGTGAAAGAATATATTAATTTTTCAACACTCGAGTCTGCATTCAAATGCAAGATGATAAAAAGAACTCTGTTCTGAAAAGGAAGGCTTCCGACACTACAACAGTAACTCTGGAGTCAACAAGAATGGGTTAAAAGGAGACAATCTAGAAAAAACATAAATCTATGAAGATATTTTATCATTAAACCCAAATTAAATTAGAACTTTTTCAGATTTGTGGGGATATTTTTTCTCTACAAGGCTTCTTTGCTGATTAATAGAAATTACCAGGATATTTTCCTTGTGAAAACACAGATTTCACTTCTATAGAACTTCTTATTTACATGTTCATTTTATAGCAGAAGCAAAACGTTATTCTTTAGGCTACAAAGACTGCAGTTTGTGGCACCATGGGCCTTGGTGTGCTGTTTTCCTTTCCAAAGCATTCTCTGTGGTCCCTGGGCCTTGATCTCTCCCAAAGCCCAGTCCCCTGCTGGCAGGAGCAGAACACCCTGCCCTTCTCTCCACCTGGAGGCAGTGAAAGCACCCTTTAGCACGGTGCATTTACATGTTTAAAGTGTCCTTTTCAAAAGCTGAACCTGAGCTTATTTGAATCACATTTATGCTGCTTATCAGTTACTGCTAACCTTCCTCATATTGTGTTTTATCTATGTCTTGTCCTTTAGTTTAGTTAACTCCATCTCCCTCTTATTGTCTTTCTGGAACTCTGGTTAGGCAACTGACCATCCCACTTTATCATTCCTATTTCTTAGTATCTCATCTGCCAAGGCTTGTCTTAGCAGCAGGGGGAAGTTCTGCTTTACTAACAGATCTTGGAAGCTGCTGCAAGTCCCAACTGGGAAAGAACTTCTCATATCAAGGCTGGTCCTGGCCATGCTCCTGGAAAGTTTTCTGTCTCGAATCACAACCACCGCCCCCCCCCCCGC